CTTCTTCCACGAACATGTAGCCTTCTTCCTCCTCGGCGAATGCAGACTTGCGTCGCCCGCCACCTTTTGTGGTGGTCTCTTTCTGGATTAGAGATGACCTGTCGTCGATCAGCTTAGCAGCCTTCGACAGGTTGATCGTGGCACGGGGTTGGCGGGTGGTTTCATGGTAAGCCGTCAACTTGGAACCTTGAAGCTTGAAGAAACGGCGACGCCAGTACTGTCGAAAACACATTGCACATCAGTACGGACTCAATACAAAGCTAGTCGGATGGAACACTTACCGGGCAATCACCTCCTTGCTGAGAAAGGAATCCTTCCCAAGTGCGGGATGAAGCAGCCTCCGCCTCGCGCATCTCGCGGATGCAGGCATTCATACTCTTTGGCATGTCCTCGTCCTTTCCGCCCTTGGGCTTAGGAACGAACAAGAGCTGCAGTTCCAGTTTGCCAATCTTGTATGGAGGACGTCGTTGAGAGGCTGCACTAGACGTGCTCTTTTTGCTCTTTACGCTGCTTGGTTGCTCGTCGACCGCCCACTCGTTGAAGCAAGCCACATCGACGGTGTACGGTCGACCAAAGGCATATTTCTCATGGTCGCTGAGGGCAATGTAGGCCCGTCCAAAGCTGCCGTCACGAGCAATAAGAGTCCTCAGTCTGTCCCAGACGCCAGCATTTACGTCCTTGCTCTTTTGTTGCTGGGAGGCAAGTTGCTGTTTCATCTCCATTTCTTTGCGCTTGCGTGGTGAGGCAAAAACTCTGCTGAAAGTGGACGCCTTCTGTCTCGCAGGCGACGCGGGGGCAGCGGGTTCCTGAACTCTGAATCTAGCGTCGTCGACCTTCATTTGAAGTGTCAGCTGGAATTCGAGGTCATTTTGTACAATGAGCTCGAATTCTTGTCCGATCGGGGCCGTTTTCCCGAGTTCCAGCCAAGCAGTGGTGACGCAATGAAGGCCATTGTCCAGTGTAAGAGCAAAGTACGATCGCTCGCCTAGTCCTGCAGTTAGCATCGGTTTGTCGCACGGAGAAGGAAGGGCGGTGTTGGTCGGAAGACAAGCGAATGGATACTCACCCTTGGGAAGTGGCAGATCGAGGTATTTCATCCCGATGACCTTGACAAACAGGCGGCCGCGTTCCTCACCATCATCCAGAGCACCATCCAAGGTGGGTTCATTCTCCTCAATTGGTGCGATGGATTCCTGGACGTTGCTCGATTGACCTGGAAGGGGTGGCACAGGGCCTGCAACCGGCTTCTTCTTGGGGATACCACCAGACATCCTCATGCTCGGACGGCGAGCTTGTCCATTCCAGGGTACCGTTGTCCATGTCTGTTGGCTCGCTTTTCGAGGTGAGGGCGCTGGAGACCTCACTGTACGCGGGTCGGTCAAGGTTTCGCCAGGCGTGGGCGCTGGTTCTTCATCACTGCGATTGCTGGCAATGACAACCTTGGTGTTATGCCTCATGAGATAACCTCTCTGTTTGGGAAATTGTCTGTCAGCTGGTGCTCTAGGGGCAATAAAAGGGTTCCTTGGGTCCTGAGGATTATGGGAATCCGGGGTAGAGGTAGTGGGCGCGGAAGCAAACAACTGGGCTAGGGACTTCTCAAACGCCACCTTTTGGGATTCAATGACTCGGTCAAATTCCTTGTCCAGACCCATGCCGAGGCTCTCTTCTTGGATGCTGAATGGGATATCCAACTTAACAAAACTGGTTTGCCGCTGCGTGAGGTCCTTGTTGGGCGCGGTAGAGGCCGTCAGGTGAGCGGACTTATCACCAGACTCTGACGCGGAGTCGTCGGGGGATGAGTGGTCAGATTCGTGGGATTCCTGCTTGCTCAGGGTAAGCATCGGCGGGGGCTGCTGACCGCTGACCTTGCGACGGACTGCCGCCATCGAATCTACATCCGCCGGTGTAAGTGAAGGGCGTGTCTTGAGTCCGTTGGGTGCCTTGACAGTAGCAATGGGTTCCGGTACACTTTCATCGGAAGAGGTCTGAGAGTCATCATCCTCTTCGTCAATCGGGTGACGGATCACTGAGTCCGGGGTACATGGATCAGAGACCGGCTCATCTATCTCCGGGGTCATCGGGCGCCGTAAGGATTCCGTGATTGCTGCCATCTTTGGAGAAGGGAGCTCTTGATCGCCAGAGTTATCGGGTCCATCTACTGCCCCCTCGGATCTTTCCGGCGGCACGGGAGTTGCCTGGCTGTCGTTAGATCCCTGGGACTCGCGCTTTTGGTGCTCAGAGTTTTCTTTGGACAGCTGAGAGGACTGGGCGTCGTCAGTAGCAGGTTTGTCTTCCAAATCCTTGAGGGAGAGGTCAAGGGACGGGAGGATTTCATCGTATTTGGGTATGTCGTAGAGATCATCGTCGTGCTCTTCGCGTTTGATCACCACGTCAGAGTCCGAGTCTTCATAATCGTCGTCAACGTCATTATCGTTCTCAAGAGATGGAATTGGAAGGTCTGGGTCATAATTCATGTAATGGTGGGGACTGGATGCGATCTGAGACTCGTCCTCATCATACGGATCGTCCAGGAAGCTATCGCTTCTGCGGAGGTCTTTCAAGATGGAGTCTCTGGAGATTCGAGGCATAGGAATATCGAGTTCGTCGGTATCATGCTCCTCCACGCCCTTAGTCTCATCCTTGCCCTGGTCCTCCGTGGCATGGTCGGGCCCCTCGGATGGCTTGACATGTTCTTGTTCGTCAGTAGCGTGCTCCTGATCCTGCTTGGCCCGTTCGTCCTTGCGGAGCATCATCAAACGCAGTCTGTCCTCCAGTGACATGGATGCACGGCTCAATTCACTGATGTCCGACTTTGTACATGATGCAGGAGCGGGGGGAGAGGGAAGAACTCTTTTACCACCACTTCCCAACTCGAACGCTGCTGCTAATTTTCCAGGAGAGGAAGAGCTAGGAGTGACAGGTTGCCGACCCGCGCCAGGCAGGGGAGGCAAAGGACGACGCTCTCCGTTCGAATCCAACGACTCTACGCGAGAATGCTGGAGAGGCAGTTTTTGCTGTGAGGGAGTCGTGGGGCCGGGACTGTGAGATTCCTCATCCTCAGTAAATGGGTCATCATCCTCCTTCACGAGCTCGTCGTTTGCGGTGGAAGGACTCATATAGCGCCAATCCTCGGGGAGTACAACGGGGGTCTTTTCAAGGTCCTCCAAAGAGGCATCGAAGCTATCGTCGCGGTCAAGCGAGGACTCGCGATCGAAACTGACATCACCCTCATCCACTTCAGAGTCATAGCTTCCGTCGCGAGACTCCGAGGCGATTGACGAAGGGTCTGGAGTAGTCATCTCGTACTCATTCACCTGAGGAGGAGCAGCATCGAAGGTCACGCTTTTAGGGTACCGATTACCAACGCTGTCGAAATCCGACCAGATCTCGCTCTCAGGATCGAAGCCGGTCCCTTTGACACCAAATCGACTCGCACGGGACAAGGAGGATTTGGCTGGAGATACCTGGTCTTTGCTCGGTGATGGAGGTCGGGGTCCTGGTTGGCGGTCATCACGATTTTGGGGCTGCTGGGGGGCCGAGTTGCTTTGAGACTGTTTCTGTGGCGACCTACTCGTCGCCAGTGGTCGTTGTGGAACATATACACTGGCTGGATCGTATTCTTGGTAACGTTCGCGCAGCATGTTGCTGTTCTTCACTCGAGATGCGCGCTTGAGATTTTCCAGGGATGGACGCTTGGATGCCGAATACGGTGAGTCTGGATCATATGGGGCCTGGTTCTCGGAACTTCTTGGGAAAGGCGAGCCCGATTCCCGGCCTTGCCAGAAGAGGCGTGGCGAGGAGGAGGAAACCTCGAAGCTCGAGGCATCACTGTTTCTCATGGTCTACGCAATCACACGTTAGGTTGTCTTGCAAAGACTGCGCATAAGGACACTTACTTTAGTGGTTTGATTCCACACTGGTGAGTTACGTCTTTGAGCCACTGGGCTTACTTCGGACAGAGGGCGCTGCGCTGAGCCACTACCCATCCTGAGAAAAGACAATGATCACCCAAGGATGGCAGATAGCACAAAGAGCACAAAGGGGAATAAAGAAAATTCCAACGCTGTGGTTGATGTATCAGCAGATGTCATGTTTTGACAAAGAGCATAACAAAGGAATGGCCCGTGCAACCCCGGGATATATCCCTTGCAAGAAGAACGCGCCCATACCTTATTCTGATAAACAACAACAAATGGCGATTGGCGCTTCGATAACCAGCAAAAAGGTGATGGACTAACTTTGAGGATATTGTTCGTACAAGTCGTGGCAGATTCGTCGCAGAGAGATATTCATCAAAAGATCGCGAATTTGTTGCTCGTGGTGGAGCGAAAGAATACAGCTTGCTCCGATAACGAGGAGATATAGAAATCCAGATGAGCAGAGATCGTCAACGGATCGGGATGGTGGGACAGACGAATTGATAAGTGACAGGATACCACCACATCCACCGTGCAAAGAGAAAGGAAGCAATAAGAGTAAGAAGACAACCACAACAGCACGAGGGTAGACAAGGCACCAAAAAGAAAAGAAAACAAGCACGAGGAGGATCTGTCGATGACAGAGGAGAAGAGAGGAGAATGAACTATGAAACAGGATAAGTAAGCCGCGGGTGGATCAGGAACAAGCAAGATAACTGTGCAGACAGCAGATGTTGACATTGTGAGCGGCGGGTGTCTCCATGGCAACTGTTGCGGCCTGGCCGCCTGAGAGCCTTAGGGCCTTGTTTCCAAGGTTCGGCCTCCAATCCTACCATCCCTATTTAGGGTTAGCGTGGTTTCGGGGCCTGCCAAACCGCAAATTTCCAGGGAAGTTTCAATCCACTCGTTAGATATCAATATTTCAGCAACTTTTTGCAGGAGCACTTGACTCGGCCTTGTCGACTCACCGTCACAATGAATCGACTAGGCAGACTACCTCTGCCTCTGCCTCCTTCAGTATGTCTATTTTGTCAGTCTCGCGCAACGGCGCCGCTTCCGTTGTCGTTGCAGTCTACCCGTTCAATGGCCACTGCTCGACTCCGCCGCAGAGTCGCTCGGATGACTCTATCGCCAGATGTCGCGAAACCATCTGTGAAGAAAACTCGGGGTGACAAGGACCGGTTTGGGCCTTTTGCGGGGATGAATCAGACGGAAGCACGAATTCGCGACACACCGAGAGCAAGGTCTCGAGCAGCTCAGAAGCGCTCTGGAGAGCCCGAGGAGGATTCCCAGAAGGAAAGTCCGTTGTATAAGGCGTTGAAGATGCAGACAGCATTGGCGCCTATCCCGTACGGTCGTCGCGCGGCCATCAAGGCCAAGATTGCCGATATAACGAGCTTTGATCAGTTTCCGCTCCTGCCTGTCGTACGCAATTCGATTTCTTCCCAGGCTTTGCCCGGTTTGATCGACGTGACACCGACACCAATCCAACGTCTTGCCATCCCGAGACTTTTAGAGGAGACAAAGACGGAGAAGAAACCGACGAAAGCGGACGATGACGAGCCTCAGTACGACCAATACCTTCTAGCAGCAGAGACGGGGTCGGGCAAGACACTGGCGTATCTGCTTCCGGTTGTGGACGCAGTCAAGCGTGAAGAAGCCCGGGACAAGGAACTAGAGAAGAAGGAGCAGGAAGAGCAAGCTAGAGAGAGAGAAGAGAAGCTGAAAAATAGAGCTTTCGATATCGACCCAGAGCTTCCGCCACTTTCAAATGCGGGCCGGCCAAGGGCGATTATTCTAGTGCCCACATCGGAGTTGGTGGCTCAGGTAGGCGTAAAGGTGAAAGCACTGTCTCACACGGTCAAATACCGATCCGGAATGATATCCTCCAATCTCACTCCACGCCGCATCAAGAACACACTATTCCACCCTGACGGGATCGACATTCTCGTTGCCACCCCTCACCTACTCGCGTCCATTGCCAAAACAGAACCCTACGTGCTCAGCCGGGTCAGCCACCTGGTTTTGGACGAGGCAGACTCGCTCTTGGATCGGTCCTTTGCCCCAACAACCACAGAAATCATTAGCAAGGTCTCCCCTTCACTTCGCAAGCTGATTCTGTGCTCCGCCACTATCCCTCGGAGTCTTGATAACCTGCTACGAAAGCGTTATCCGGATATTAAGCGTCTGACGACACCTAATCTCCACGCAATTCCTCGTCGCGTGCAGCTGGGTGTGGTGGATATCGAAAAGGATCCATACCGCGGAAACCGCAGTCTGGCATGTGCCGACGTCATCTGGTCAATAGGCAAGGCAGGCGACTCCGAATCGGACGGCCCTTACGCCCCGTACGTTGCGCCGAAGACCAAGAAAATCCTTGTCTTTGTGAACGAGCGCGAAGAGGCAGACGAGGTGGCTCAATTCCTTCGCTCCAAGGGCATCGACGCGCAGTCCCTCTCGCGGGACTCTAGTGCTCGAAAGCAAGAGGAAATTCTCGCCGAATTCACCGAAGCACCACCCCCTCCAACCCCCGATGAAATCCTTCTGGCTCAGAAGCAGCGTCGTCAGGAAGACGCGATCCCATTCGAGATGCCCGAGAAGAAGAACCAGGATTCGTCCCGTCGCCTCGCCAACACCAAGGTGCTTGTCACGACCGACTTGACCTCCCGCGGTATTGACACCCTTGCAGTCAAGACCGTCATTCTCTACCACGTCCCACACACGACCGTTGACTTTATCCATCGGCTCGGCCGTCTCGGCCGTATGGGCAAGCGCGGCCGCGGTGTTGTGTTGGTCGGCAAGAAGGACAGAAAGGACGTAGTCAAAGAAGTCCGCGAGGGTATGTTCCGTGGTCAAGCACTGATCTGACGGACTCATCTCGACAGGACAAAAGTTGTAACATTGTGTATGATTTATTGGAACAGGGCAAGGCGTTCGGGCATGGGTCCCGGGGAAGGGAACGAATACCAGGATAGACCATCGGATCTGGACATATGTATAATACTGTATATTTACAACATCACATCATCCAACTCATCAATGGCATTCTTCATGATTCATCCGCACAGCCACTAGGCTTTAGACCAAGTTATCGACAGTGTATACTTTTACCGTCAAACAGGAACCTGCTCCCCAACCGACTCCCAGAAATCGCACCTCTCCTTCAAAAAGGACACCTCCGTAGTCGCAAACCCATCCGGAGCAATCACCCACTCCTCCCCCGTCTCCTTGAGAACCGACACGCCCGCCTCCGACACAGTCGTCAACTTATGCGCATTCGGATCGCCCGTCTGGAAGAAACTCCCAAAAGCGCCCGCGAAGCCCTCATAGATCAACGGATCAGTCTGCTGGATCGAATTGACCTGGTTCCACTATTCTCAGTTAGTATACACGCATGCCTCGGGACGTGGTAATCGATAATGGGTGAGGATAAGAGGGGAAACGAACATAGATGGTATCGCTGGCGTGCTTGGCCGGCGAGATCGTATATTCACCTAGATAGCCTCTCCGCTTCGCGGTCGAGGCAAGCCAGTACGCCGGACAGGCGAGGACAAGGTCGCGGTAGACCAGGCCCGCGCGGACGAGCGTCGTGTTGTACAGGTCGATTGTCTCGGTTTCGCCGGTGGGCGGGTAGTACTTTGATTCGAGGAGGGCGATGTGCGCGGGGGCGAGGCCCGGCAGGAACCCCGTCAGCCAGGTGTGGAAGCTTGCGGCGGAGGAGTTGAACCCGGCGGTTGTGGCTGTCTTGCCCAGGCCGGAGGGGATGAAGTTCTCGCCCTCGTGGGAGTTGTACATGCCGAAGACGAAGGGCGTTTTGAGTTTGCGGCGGGCGACGGCGGCGGTGAGGGCTTCCTGGAGGAACTCGCCGTCGATGACGGGGGCCCAGGTGAAGGAGCTTGTGTTGTAGGTGTGGCTGGCGCTGATGATCAGGTTTGCGTCACGGATGGTCTGGATGCCGACGGATTTCAGGCAGGCGAGGGAGTCCGTGGCGTTGGTGCAGCCGGTGAGGGTGACGAGCTGGTCGTAGATGGCTTCTGCTTCGGGGGAGTCGTAGGCGTAGGTCTTTGGCCAGAAGGGCGAGCTGGCGAGCGCTTTGTCGAAGAGCTTGGGTTGACTGCCCCGTCCGTTGGCGAGGACCTGAGCCACCACCGAGCCTGCGCCGGCGGATTGGCCCCAGATCGTGACGTTGTGAGGGTCGCCGCCGAAGTGGTGGATGTATTCCTGTACCCACTTGAGGACATACTGCTGGTCCAAGAGGCCCGGGTTGAGATCAGACGTTGGAGAGCGCTTGATCGCCTTGCCTGGAAGGAAGCCAAACGCATTGACCCGGTAGTTGGGGTAGATGACCACATAGTCATTGAGGTCCGTGACGTTCAGGATTGGATATGAGGACGGAGGTAGTGTAAACGAAGCGCTGCCTTGAATGAAGCCACCGCCGTAGAAGACAACCAAGACCGGCCTAGAAGCAGACGAGGGAGCGACTGTAGCATCCCACGGCCGTGAGAAGAGGCCAAGGTAGAGGCAGTCTTCGGAGCCATTGACCGTGCGTTGCGGGCACATGTCAAAGTCCTCATCAGTGTCATAAACGCCATTCGTGATCTTCACAGGCGCCTGAGGGGCTCTAAACCGGTTCTCCCCTGTTGGAGGCGCTGCAAAGGGGATCTTCCGGAAGTATGAGAGATTATAGGTAGAGTCATATTTGCCCTGGAACTGCCCATAGTCCAGCTCGACGAGGGGATCTTCGTAGGCGCTGGAAAGCGAGAACGTCAGCAAGAAGCAAAGAGCAAAGATATACTTCGTTGTGATCGCCATGACTATAGACGACGATCTTACCAAGGAATGGCCTAGCATACGACCCGTAGGATCCAGAGCATCTCTGCTCATTTATATGGCATCTTGGCGCAGCAGCAGTACTGGCAGGCTCTCGGTATGAGACACACCGAGATCAGATCTGAAGACCTGGGGAACAAACGATGGATGATGCCAGGTTAGATGCCAAGGTCGGGGGAAAGGAGACAGACCTCTTCGCGATTGGTGCAGTTATATTTCCCATGTTCGCGCAGTACCGCAAAATGCGGGGAAAGACACAAAAGAAATACGATCTGTCCGTGGCTGTAGGTTTGAGGTTGTGAGGTTGTGAGGTTGTGAGATTGTGTCATTGTCCAGAAGTCTGGATATGTTAGATAACTGCATCTTGTACAGAATGGCGGTATGCAAAAAATGAGGTCAAATCATGAAACCATGTCTACAGATGCAATATGCCGTGTCTTGGAGCGCCATCCCCCAGTAAATCCCTGATCCAACATCGCAATGAAATGTTACCAGCACCAAAACACCATTCCCAATTAGTACAGAATGCCAAAAACCCCGAAAGTCGCCATCATCACATGGTAATTCGAAGTGAATGAGTGCGTCGCCGGCTCGCACGAGTAGTGCGTCTGTCGTCACAGCCTTCGCTTCCTTCGGTTTCTGTGCGTGGCTCAGACAATTCCGGCGTGGGCGTCACGCCGAAACTGACGCCGCGATCTTTACGCGAGATGAGTGCCTCTTCCTCGGGGCATAGGAAGCGGTGCACCGTCCGATGGTCCATCACTCGTTCTTCATCGTCCGACGGGCCCTCCTTATCAGTCTTGGGCCAGCGGTATCCATACAACATAGAGTGACGCTCGCAGCGAGGGCACTCCCGTCGAGTCAGATAGGAGTTATGTTGCACAAACCAGGCATTACAAGTGTGGCAGTCAACCCAGCGGTCGTATGTCTGCGCCAAAAGTTTCGACGTCTTGGTATAATCCCCTGGGACACGGACGAGTTGTGATTCAGCCTCCACCGACTGAACAACAGTGGCTTTTCCACGAGAGTTTCTGGGCTTCTTTCTGTTAGAAACAATAGATTCTTGTCCCAATGTGCTCGTTGGGTCTGATAGCTCTGGTTTTGTGTCTCCCTCAATGCTGACTGAGCGTTGAGATGTGATCGACAGCTCAATGTTCGTCTCGGCTATGGCGGAAACTTTGTCCGCAGATTTCTCTATCGTTTCTTCCACTTTGATTTTGACTGAAGCATCGCACACTGAGGTGGCAATTGTTGATGTTGATGAGCGTTCTGACTCGTTCGCGGCAGTTGACGGAGAATCGGCAGGCGGGGAAGGCAGAGCAGCGTCCACAGTTCTGTCATTTTCCGACTCGAGAGCGCTGTTACCCGAGATCCCAATATCAGGACCGTTGGACACGGGGGAAGGGCCAGCAGGTTGCTCAATCGAGGTAGCAACTTCGAGGAATGACACTTCAGATCTCAATTTGGAACTCTGGCGAACAAATTTGCCCCGTTTGCAAGGAGTGGACGGGGCAGAAGTTTCGGTGTCTGAGTCAGGCGCAAATTTGCGCTTCTTAGGTGAGACATGACTGTCCATTGACAGATTATCATCGTTCAGCGCAGGCGTGGACGCCTTACTCTGAGGCTCAGATGGCACATGCGGCGCCCAGCCATTGCGGACCAGTCGTTCGCAGGTAAGACACAAACACTCGCAGTTGTCAATCCCAAAATAGTCGTCTCCGTAGGACACTGTAATCTCCTCGCCAATGTAAATGTCCCGAGTAGCCACAACCTGCATGCCTTCTGAACCACGCGTCACCAATTTTCCATTTGCATTACAGTCGTGATTGGCGAATCTAGCAGGCCCAAGGAAAAAAGACGGGGTCTTTTTCCTACTGGACATCACAATGCTGAAATCCTTCCGCTTCAGGTCAAGATCCCGCTCTTCTTCACGAGTCATAGGCACAAGAGTTCCGCTTAGATATTTGATCTCCTGTCCTTGCTTGATAAATTTGCGAGCGCAGATTGCAGCCTCATGTTCCGTAATTGTGTAACGATTGGTCGTGGTAATCTCAAACGGGGAGTCAGGTAGGTACATCTGAATGTATTTGCGCAGGTGACGGCGAAACCAATCCTTCTCGCGATCGTTGGGCAACCGAGCCATGTACTTCTTCAGCCCTGACATCGCCAGCAATTCTCGTTCTGCTTTCGCGGGATCCTTTGCGACAATGACATCGTGCAGGAGGATGCGAGCGACATCATCGTCAACGATGCCCCGCATGGGGTTGTATTTGGTTCTATTCTTGCGAGTATTGGTCCAGAAGTAAGCCTGTAGAAATCAGGAATCAGTAACGAGTCTGAAACATGCATGACAGAGAGGGACCACGTACTCGGTCCACCAGCGCATCCGTCGCGACGTCGTCGTAGCTGGCCAGTTTCGCAAGCGTCAGACGGTCGCGACGGTCGACAGACGGGCTATCTCTTTCCTTTGCGGACGGCATGGCGAAGGCAGTATCAGCAATCTTCCATACAAGGAAGGCCGGCCGCTATGAAGTGTATGCGGTGTGAATTGGCGGCTCGATGTCTTGTCAGAGGAGGCCCAAGCGGAAGCGCGGATCTTGATACCAGGGGGTGATCCGCCAAAGGAGCGTAGATTTAGCGATTCATAAAAACGCAAGGAGAAAAGAGCCCAAATACAAAGGTGTGGACATAGTGGAAAGGCGAGTGGATGCCTCAGAGGGATTAGCGCACATGGAATGAGAGGGGGAAAGGCCTTCACTTCAATCATGCACCATTCACTAGGACAACCCTACTTGGTGGCTGCGTTGCCCATGCGATCAATCATGCGGCAGTATGTGCTGCATCGCTTTTTCCGGGGTCGGCGGTCGGCGAAACCTGCCGGCCCGGTGCTGGAAATCTTTCGGCCAGCCCATGCAAGACGGCCCTGACATCGTCAGATACGATACCCCTCCTTAGCGTTTATACAATCAAAATGATTCAATTAAAGGTAAGCGGTATTTCCTTTTGAAGGTTCCATCGTCTTCCGGAAATCTTACTGACGTGGTCGGCAGACGTTACTCAACTGCATCGACAACTCCGGCGCCGCGGTCGTCGAATGTGTGAATGTCTTGAAGAAGAAGCGGCCGGCCACAGTCGGTGGGTTATACATCTACAATATCTACAATCAACGAGCTCTGACTTTCGATGTGAATTCAACCGGAAATAGGTGACCGGATAGTGGTTGTGGTTCAGAAACAGCGAAACTTCGGCCCCGAGAGCACGAACAACAGCGGCATCGCGAACAAGGTACGTCGCGGCGATATCCGGCACGCTGTCGTCGTTCGCGCAAGGAAGGAGATGCAGAGACCAGACGGAACTATTGTCAAATTCGATGACAACGCATGCGTGCTGGTCAACAAGTCGGGTGACCCGATTGGAACCAGAATGAACGGTTAGTCTCTCCAAGGTGGTCTATATCTAAGTTTTGACTCAGCTACTGACTTTACGTTTGCAGGAGTTGTTGCTACAGAATTACGAGGAAAGCAGTGGTCAAAAATTCTGTCCTTGGCGCCTATGCATGTGTAATATACCAATTTGGAAGCGAATCGTTTATCTTCTCAAACAAATACTCTGTACCAATAGAAATCCTTGAAGCATCCGGTTCTTCTTATCGCCAGAAATGCCATTACTCCATAACAATGCCGTAAAATCACAAACAGAAGGGTATCCAAACTTCGGACGCTGCACCAACAAGACCAATCATACAAAGACATTACCACAAGCGCAGCAGACATAGTAGAGTTTCTTCAATGAAATGACAGAGCGTCAGCAAAATGTGGCAATCAAAAGGCACGGGCAATGTCTCACCATTCCAGTTTCTGCTGATCGCTGTTGAGATTGGAAGAAGACTGCTTCCGCTTCACCGCAGCTCGGACAGGGCTTGTTCGATCGGGGAAGCTAAGCAAGAGAGAGAGATCATGTCAGCCACGGAAATTTCAAGCAATAGACCTTGGAATGTTTCCATGACAGGAGGGATGGGCCAGTATGTTTAAATGCTCATGGAATCCTCAGAATCCCAATCGGACAGTGTATCTTCAGGCAACTGCCCGCAGGTAAAGCAGGTAATCTCTTCCCCGCAATGGGCACAGAAACCAGGGAGACAAACCGTTGGATCAGATCCCACATCCTGGGTCACACCAGCAGTGTCTCCAACTTGGCTGTTCAACTTGTTCTGATAAACGCAGTATGAGGACGCGGGCTCGCCGACGTGGCACGTTCGACACGTGAACATAAGACGGTTGTTGACGCGGTCTTCTTTGGGATAGAGTAGGTTGGAGCTGTTTCAGTGTGTTAGCAGACTGTAGAACGGAGTCTATGGGAAATAGGAAATTCTTTACCATTCGCGACAGAAACGAAAATGAATCTGATCAGTTTGCTTGTTATCGCCACTGGCGGACGGAGATGGGCTTGCAGACATTTTGTCGGTTGTAGGATGGAGCGTCGCGCGCGAAAAATTTTGCAGTAGCAGATAGAACAGACTTTCGAGAGAAAATAAGACGTTGAGTTTGGAAGATTTGTTGGAGTACGCTCAAGAAATGGCAAAGCGAGAGATCAAGGCAAAAGATGATAGAGACCCGGTCAAAGACTGCGCTTGAATAATCAAATTAATGGAAGTTGGAAGAAGCGCTGGATTGGCGCCTGAGGAAGACCCAAAAGGAGACTAGACCCAGAAGGATGGGACGCAAGCGCGGCTTCGAACCTTAAGTGGGATGTTTGCACTGTTTGCCGCCATCCCTCTTTCTTCCCCCGCAGTTTGTACAGGCAGCTCAATGTTGCTCAGTGAGAGAAACCGTTGACAGCTTCGACTTATCAACCCAGGCATAAACTGAATATCTAGGCCATTTTGCCTCATATAGCTCTTGCATAGTGCTTTGAATATACATCAGACTCACCATGGTATGCCATGTTCCTCCTTTCCTTAGCTGGTGCATTGACTGACCGGACAACTCCCACAGGTAGAAACCGGTCTTCCTGCAGGATGGGAGGTTCGCCATTCCAACTCCAAGAATCTTCCTTACTACTTCAATCCCTCGACCAAGGAGTCCCGATGGGAACCCCCCGCCGGCACAGACACCGAGTTGCTGAAGGTCTACATGGCAAACTACCACAGCGCCCCCGCCGGACGGCCTGATAGCACAGGCCAGGGTGAGGGCAAGATCCGTTGCAGTCACCTCTTGATCAAGCATAGAGACAGTAGGCGACCAAGCAGCTGGAGGGAGGCGGAGATCACCCGATCGAAGGAGGAAGCGATCGAGATCCTTCGGGGCCATGAACAGCGCATCCGCTCGGGTGAAGTGAGCTTGGGTGATATCGCAGTCTCGGAGTCGGATTGTAGCAGTGCCAGGAAGAAGGGCGACCTGTACGTTACATTCATAGTCATCGTAGCTCCCTCCTTGGTTATATTCAATGCTAATTCTTCACCAGTGGGTTCTTCGGCCGTGGCGAGATGCAAAAGGAATTCGAGGATGCAGCCTTTGCGCTGCAGCCAGGCCAGGTCAGCGGCATTGTTGAGACGGCCTCTGGTGTCCACCTCATTGAACGGTAAGTCGTCTCTCTGTCTGCTGTGCAGCAATTGAAGAGACGTAAAGCTGATGAGAATTCGGATACAGCGTCCAGTGATATGTTTGTTTGCAAATTATAATGTCTCTAGAGGTTACCAAAAAACCATGCATTTCTGTTTAGGCTCAATTTACCTCCATGCACAGATTACATACCTTACTGACTGCAGTACCTCTAATAAAGCTGGAGGTCCGTTGGCCACCTAGTTGATATGCATCTCCCTCTAAACTCTATCAGCCAGTTCTCTGACTATGGAGTTGTTGACGAGGTCTGCAGAGCAAGAACCTACGTTTCAATTACCCGATACTCGTGCTGATATAGTAGTATGAAGCTTGCTGTGACTTGCGTAGGCTTCAATAAGGAAATCCCGGGGCTGCCTCAATTAATCGTGTAACCACCCAGACTCTTACGTTGTGACTGGTTTACTCCATAGATCAATCCAAGCCATCAGTCAATATGTTTCGGTACTTTTTTCAGTGCGCTTGAGCAAAGACAATTCCTCCAACAAAAGCTATAGATCTTCATCACGTGCTCAGATAGCCCTATCCCATCGTCATGTCAATGGGTGAGTCGCCGAAGATAAAACAATGAGCAATGTATTGTCTCACATTGTGAATGAGAGTATAAAAATTATGGTTCTAATTCTATACTTTTTGCTCTTTGATGTCTTTTTTCCTTTCCTTTCTGCCTTCTTTTTGGGCGGGCCCTCTCCCTTGTGTTTGGGAACATGGCGTGATTCTATTCAATATATATATTGGCACTACAGGGTGTTTCAAACCACACCAAATTCAACTACCACAATTATCTCAAGTATCAGTTCAAGCTGAACGCAAAAACAAACAGACAACTAAGATGTGCATAGTGAACACCCGCAAATACGCCCTCTGCGGATGCATCTGGGATGACTCCTTAAGTCGCTGCAAGTACTGGGAGTGGTGCCGCAGACGAAGACTGATTCAGAGCGAATACGAGATGATGTGTGGGGAATGTTCGGAGAAGGTTACACCGGGTGCGCAGCAGCAGAGTCAAGTCGGGGATGCGCTTCAAGCAGCCCAGGATGGAGCGCCGAAGGAGTCGATGATCCGGCAGACTGAGTGTGATCTGACAAGGAGCTGCGACCCGGTTGTGTTGGGGAAGAGGATGGTCAAGAGGAGGGCATAGAAGGGCAGTGTCACTACGTTCCAGCTTATGTGTTTTCAGGGGAGTTGTGAGGAAATGATATACTCGAAGTGCCGAGCATGAGTGTTTTGAGTAGTTCTAATGTTAGTATTGGATTACTTGCAGGCGTTGTTTCGCCAATTTAACGTTACGCTTCTTCATTGCTGATCATAGATCACACGATGATATCCCCTCCGATCCGGACAGTTCATAATCAAAATTTAGATGCTCGAGTTCAGTCGGTTCAATCGAGACGTGATGGCTTCAATGACAGCAGACCTGAAGACGATGACTTAGCCTATACAGCACTTATCACTAGAAGAAAGGACTTACTCTCGCTCGACCATCCTCATGGCGTCGGAAATCTTCGCCCTTTGTAGCCTCTGTGGGACTCTTGGCCCAGCGGCAGTTGGGGACGCTGGGCTCCCAGGTTCCGGTGCGACAGGTGCCTTGGCCGCAATGGACTTGGCCTCGGCCAGCAGATCCCCTGCTATCTCCTTGACCTGCAGCAAATGTCAGCATTACTGTGTGTGGTTCATGTAAGCGATGAGACTCACGGTTTCCAATCGCTGTGACAAACTCCGATCCTTCTCTTCTTCTTTCTTCTGTCTCTCCAACGAAGTAGATAGTGCCTCCACTTCCAAAAGCCATGCCTTCTCTTTCTCGCTCAGTGGACGACCGCCCGACTTCAGAACCTTGTTTCGGAGCGACTCGTATCTCTCAACCAATTGCGCCTGTCTCTCCTTCGCAGCCTTCAGCCTCTTATCCAGCGCCTCATCACTCCTCGAGCCCTCTCGCCGCTGACCATCCTCACCAATATCGCTTGAGACCCCCTTGATGCGCTCAGCTACGTCCGAGAGCTGCTTCAGTTGCTCCTGCATCTCCCCTTGAAGCCGCTCACAGCGACGGAAAAGATCCGATGCTGCCCTTTCAAGAGCATTCGTGTGAGCAGACAGAATGCGGTGTGCAGCAGCAACCAGGTCCAGCGTTGCTGGCGACAAACGCACCTGCTCTTTGAGCGACTGGCGTTGTCGATGAGGGACATGCTTCTCAACGAAAAACTCCAGAGGCGAGTCCGAATAGAGAATAGAAGGGACTTGGTAAGGAGGTCTTTTAGGTGGTAGAATGGGAGAAGTTGGCGCCTGCGCCCCTGAACCAATTGGTCCCATATCTGCAATTGGTGGAAAGCTGACCTCAGGCGCATCCATGATGGCAGCATACGGGCGAGACGCGTGGTGGCTCAACAGCAAATAACCAAGATCGTAGTCATAGAAGACCAGAGAAGAGGCCAGATGGTCTGATTCGCCTTTAACAGCACTGCCACCATCATCTACTTGGATGATTCGCTCCCTGAGAGATACTGTGCCTTCGCATAGCACTTGCAAACGAAAAGCTGAGCCCGCCGTATCCTCTGACCGGAGCTCGGCCTCAAGCCTCTGCACCCACGAACTTAGTGAAATAGATGTGACATTGGTTGCGGTCGTGACGAAGAAGCTGTATCGAGAGATAACATCGTTGGTGAAGGTCGGCCAATTATTCAGATGCTGGTCTCGTCTGATAGTATCCAACGACTCAACCAAGACCAAATCAGACGGCTCAGACAGGGGGGTGCTGAATGCATTCTTCTTAAGCTTGGGGAGCCACTGCCCCTCGACGCCGTCAAGTTCAAGGCAGATATGGACCCTGCCAGTGCGGGTCGAGAGGCAGATAACAGTGGCCGACAATTGATCGTTGTCTTCCACTGAGAGCTCATCATCCTCACCCATCATGAGAGCATCCACGTCGACTTTTGACGCAATGACAAGGACGTCACAAAGGTCCAAATCGTCGAGCTCGGCCCCAGTTTCGACACGAAACGGACCCTGCAACCTGGGGATCGCGCTGGGATTGGCGGGACGCGTCAGAATTTCCGACCCGGGCTCCAGATCCGAGCCAGCAATGGTCTGCAACGGATCCTGGTTATCAATCTCCGTAAGCCAGTCGTACTGCTGTCGACAGGCTGTCAGCTCATCCTCATATTCCGACGAATCTTCCTCCATCGCCGACAACTTTGGAACAATGGCCGAAGTAAGGGAGGGAATAGTAGTCGCAGGAGCTCGCCATTTGGAGGGCAACAACGGGCAAAGGGCGTAAAGATCACCAGGTCGCATTGCGACCCACAGTGTCATTGGCGCCCATGCGCTCTCCTTCTCGCTTCCGCTACCGCCAAAGCAAGCCGAGGCGACTTCCATATCAACGAAATCGGCGGAGAATCCTTTGTTCTTCCCAAACCCAGAAGGTGAAAAATCCTGGTCGCAAGATGTTCCGTCCACCAATTTTCTCAGGTCAACCGCCAGCGTAGGTCGGTCGAAAGACCAGTGGTTGTTCCGGTCCAGCTCCCATACGCGGACTGCGGCATCTGCGGTGACGGTGATAAGACAGCCTCCAAGATTGCTGTGCACCCCCAAAGGATGCCATAGCGCCGAAACAACGGGCGACTCGGGGATAACGTGCGTAGTGGGACCAAGCTGGTAATACTTGAGACGGATAGGTGAGCGATCCGTACCAGACAGGTGCGATGAATCTGGTAGCACCGCGATATACACTGTATGATCCGTTACGATGGCCAGAAAAGCGCCATTTGGAGAAGGAACCATCTGCCGAATCCGTTCGTAGACTGGTACGATCAGAACCTAATCGTTCATTAGCCACGACAATGAGCTAGACATGCAAAAGCTTGTGCGAGAATCGGCCATACTCTGTAATAGTCCGTCTCATCGCTATCTGACGGTCCCTCAGAGCTCCTTGTCTGACCAGAAGCGTCCTTCTTTGATCTGGACTGCTGCTGCTGCCATACATCCTTCAATCGAGTAAGGCTCGACCAGCGGATCTGATTGTTCACCACGGTGAAGACCTCATTTCCTCGCTTTGCCAAGGTTCTTGTCGGGCCGCTATACTCCGCTTCATTCTCCGGAAGATAACCTGGTTTTTTGGTCGATGTGCTTGCAAAGAGTGTTGCGCCGGGTGCAGGGCGCGATAGCCATGGAGGTGTGTAGCTGATGAGTTTCGGCATCGTCAGCGGTTATGGCGAACAAGTTGAAACTAAAACCAGAAATGAATTGGGGATGACTGTGGTTTATTCCATATCCTCAGTAAGCTGGTAGGAGGACAGATTGATTCAAATTGAAGCTTGGTTGGAATGACGGCAATGATAGCAACAAACAGCGGGCCGGGGATTTTTTGGTTGGAGGAAAAGCGCGCCAAGACAAGGTGAAAGCTCCGCCCTTGAGAGCTCTTGATGTCCAGCTATCCTACGTCTTCAAACTGCATTCCCGTCATCTCCATCATTGCTCTGTCTCGCGCATATCCCGCTGCGTTATCTCATATTGCTTGAAATAATTGCCTTGTTCTTGTCCGGAATATACGGCCGCGTCTACAATATAATGAGTACTTTGGTCCACAACACAATCGATAGGCTGGATCGGCCTAGCGCCTATTACCTGGCAAAGGTGCGCTTGCAAACCGCTTTTGGCTTTGATCATTTCCTAATAAGGTCTTTTTGAATGGCAGAACAAGAAACGCAAGTACAGCCAGGATGACTCTGAGAGGACGGAGGACCCAGTCGACAAGTTGAAGGATGCCACAACACTCTACGTCGGAAACCTGTATGTCGACCGAAACACTGCATTGATGACCATAATTATGGCGCATACTGACTTTCTAAAGTTCTTTCTACACAACAGAGGAGCAAATTCATGAGCTTTTCTCAAAGTCAGCGGACCCGCAGGCCCATCATAGCATGATGTCCAGAACTAACAAGCGCATATAGGTGCGGTGAAATCAAGCGCCTTGTAATGGGGCTGGATCGATACAACAAAACTCCCTGTGGCTTCTGCTTCGTGGAATACTATACCCATCAGGACGCCTTGGACTGCTTAAAGTATGTCGGAGGCACCAAGCTTGATGAGAGAATTATTCGTACGGATCTTGACCCTGGCTTCGAGGAAGGACGTCAGTATGGGTACGTGATGCTACATCTTTATCAGAAGAGAGAAGAACAGGAGGGTCTAACTTTCAGCGAAGACGAGGAAAGTCTGGTGGGCAGGTGCGCGACGAATACCGTGAAGAGTACGATCCGGGCCGCGGTGGTTATGGTCGGGCATACGCAGATGACCAGCGCAGGCGGGAAGAAGAAGAGTACGGCAAAGGTAAGTAGTTTGGAGGTAAATTTGCGTGGTCTATTGGCGCAGACAAGGCGTTTGTACATCAACAAGGTCGTCTCTATATTCCCGGTAAACTGCACCGGCTGTTCAAGGAAAGGAAATTTCTACCAGATACCCAACAATCAACAATTCCGTGCTCAAGAATTGCCAAGTCTATGACTGTTCATATTTCCTTCCTCTTCCTTACGGACTCCTCTACCTGGCGCAACCACCAGGAATGTATTCTGGCATCACCTGTCAATTCGGGGTGAAAGCTTGTTCCGAACACATTACCCTGTTTGACTGCGACGATATCACCAGTCTCTTTATCTGCGTCGATCTGCGTTCCCATGGCGGCTAATTTAGCTGCTCTGCCGGGGAGACTTGCTAGTACTTCAACTCCGTCTGCCATCGCCGCCTTGGCCGCCTGGCTCTGGGGTTGTTTCGAAGGCGCCACCACCGTCTCGTCCCTTTGTGTTTCGTCCACCTGAATGCCTTCTTGATGAGGCAAAATCTTTTCCACCACAGGCGCCCGGATAAATACTGCTGGGAAGGATTGCTCGGTCAGACCCAAGAACGGCAATTCCAAGGGCGCCTCAAAACTCTCCGTTTGCCGGCCAAAGTGATTTCTGTTTACGCGAACGTCGAGACCTCCGATGAGCTCCTGTCCGCCTTTCTTGGTTCGATTAGCAGACTCGGCCAGCAGGATCAACCCGGCACAGGTGCCCCATGTCGGTTTCCGATGGACCCTAAGAAAACAGGTTGTCAGTCGCATTGACGGGATAGCCTTGTGGTTGTTGCGCGAACATACTTCACAAAGTCCCTCAAAGGCTCCAAGAGGTTCGATCGGGCCGCGACTAGAGAGATAGTCGTGCTCTCGCCTCCAGGGAGGATCAACGCATCACACCGATCCAACTCCTGCGGTGTCCGAACTTCAATGAACTCCCATTGAGTAGTGGAGCTTTGTTCCGAGACTGCCTTTTTCAGCAGCTGGATGTGCTCATAGAATGCACCCTGTAAAGCGAGAACCCCAACAGTGATGCTGGCCATGGTAATTCCTGCTTGTAGAAAACAATAACTTTTTGAAACTCAGACCTTGGTCACTCTCCTCGCCCTGTATACACCCATTACCTAAGCGGGTCAACATTCGGCCGGTATTTATCAGCACGTGCTACCCCGCCTACTGATAAGATTGTCGTTTTTAATGTCAGCAAAGGATGCACGATGTCTCATAGCATATGCATTGGATATTATCGTGTTCGATGATGACGGATATGACTCGATGACACTTTATGACACTGCTTGTTTTTTTACTTCCCTTATTTTGCCGTAGCAGAGAGGTCAATTAAGCCTACGCAGCTAGCTCTCCCCGTCCCCCTCTCGTTTTGAAGATATAGCTCTTTGCTCGCGAATCCTTACTGCTTATTTCGCAACTGTCCGGAAGATGGGCTCTGTACAAAATGAGAGCAAACCCTCTCTTACGCGATGGTATATAGACACGCGTCAATTGACAGCGACAAATTCATCACTCCCATTGTTGGAGACCCTCCAACCATCAGACCAAGAGACAGTCAAGAAGTTCTACCACCTCAGGGACAGACACATGTCCCTCGCCTCAAACCTGCTGAAATACCTCTTCATCCACCGCTCCTGTCGCATTCCTTGGAACAAGATCAGCATCAGTCGAACACCAGCGCCCCACCGCCGACCATGCTTCATCCCCTCTCCCGCCCTGACCGAGGGCAGCGACAAGCCCATCCCCAGCATCGAATTCAACGTGAGCCACCAAGCATCTCTCGTAGCGCTCGCAGGAACAATCATCCCACAGTCCGACGTCCCAAGCACCAACCTCGCTGCGGTATTCGCCAACCCCAGCCCATCCTCGGTCCCGTCCCCCTCTGTCCCTCAGGTAGGAATAGACATCACCTGCGTGGACGAGCGGCGCGCACGCACAAGCTCCGCCCCATCAACCCGCAAGCAACTAGCTGAATACGTCGACATCTTCGCGGAAGTCTTCTCCCAGCGCGAGCTGGAAACAATGAAGAACCTGGGCGGGAGATTCCCGGCTGACGCGCAGGACGGCGCCCAGGAAACCGAAGCGGTGGAGTACGGCCTCCGCTTGTTCTACACGTACTGGGCTCTCAAGGAGGCGTACATCAAGATGACCGGCGAGGCGCTTCTCGCGCCGTGGCTGCGGGAGCTGGAGTTTACGGATGTCATTGCGCCTGAGCCTGCGCCGGTGCAGGGCTTGGCGGGGGACTGGGGGGAGCCGTACACTGATATCAAGACCTGGCTGTATGGGAAGAGGGTGGAGGATGTGCGGATTGAGGTTGTCGCGTTTGAGAAGGATTATATATTTGCTACGGCGGCGCGAGGGGCCGGATTGGGGGCCGAGAGTCGGCCATTGCGGGGGAGTGCGGGCGTCACCGTCTTGGTAGATCCCTGGATGCATATGGAGAAGATCGATATTGACGAGGACATTGCACCTTGTGCGACGGGAGTTTGCCAGTGTGTAAAGAAATAGTCTTTAGGAGAGTCTATTTGAGCGTTTAAGCGTCTGGACGAAGCAAAGCAGGGGGAGATAAATATCTATGCATCTTCACCCACACCCAACAATACAAAATAATACCACGAATGATAATGCTATGTACACTCTGTCACGCTGTCTGCACACAATAGTCCGCTGAATTTATAGGAAAGCAGAAAGCGAATGATTTGTAGGTGGCTTATTCTCCTCGGCATCTCCGGTAGTCGTATCCAAAATCTAAACCCTGCAGGTCTATCCACAAACCACCCCCAGGCACCAAATATCTCTTAGCAATTCTAGAGCGCGAGATGAGTGAGAGGGACTCGTCTCGCCCTGTTCATAATCTCGAATAACAATATAGCCGTCAGTCATATAAGAGGCGAAGAATAGACAGGCCGCGCCGGCGTGATCATCACCGCAGTAACAGGCCAGGAACGGACGTGATCGTAACTCATGGACGGTCGTGCAACCGATCAGATCTCCACAGCAGTGGAAGTAGCCTTCTTGACTTCTGAGTCGATCTCATCACGATCCTGTTCGGCTAGCTCGAGGAGAGCCTTGAGCATGCTCTCCTGGGTGGTCTTAGTCAACCGGTCGACATCCGCAGCGGTCAAGCCTTCCGTGCTGATGGGAGGTAGGACTAGGACGAGTCTGTTAATCTCATACCGGGGACAAGAAACATCACATGCAACACACCTTTGATCTTGATCACGCCAGGGTTAAACCGCATATTACGCGGCGACAGGATGTGCGAGTAGTTCTCCGCGACGATAGGAACGATCGGTACACCCGCCTTGACCGCCAGATGGAACGCTCCCTTCTTGAAAGGCAGCAACTCGGGCTTCTCGGAGTAACTCCTGGTTCCCTCGGGGAAGATGAACACGCTCTGCCTGTACTTGCGCATCTCCTCCGCCGCACCGTCAAACGCCTTCATCGCCGTCTCGCGGTTGGCCCGGTCAATGAAAACCGTCCGCGACAGCGCCATGAACCAACCCAGGAAGGGGACATTTTTCAGCGACTTCTTCGCGGTGACGCTGCAGTACGGAGGGAAGATGTGGCCCAGCATGAGCACGTCGAGCTCGGACTGATGGTTGCCGATGAAGACCGCAGGCCGGGTGGACAGGTGCTCGGCACCCTGGATGATGTCGAACTGCACGCCGGTTGTATACCGCATAACCCATTTGAAACTGCGCGCGGTGGCCCATTGGGAGACCCGGCCGTAGCCTACGAGGCGAAGGACAATGGATGCGATTACGCCATAGCATGCGCAGAGCAAGAGAGAGCCATAGGCCGCAAGACACCGAGCGAAAAAGGCCGCGCGAGGGACTTTTTGGCCGAGTGCGAAAAGGGAAAGCGTCACGACGACAAACGAGCTGATGCCCGAGGCGATGTAGGACAGGAGCGACATGTCAAAAGACCGGGGAAAGCAATCTTTAGGGTTACGATAAGCTGTATAAGTAGCCTCGAAGTCACTAAGTCGTAATATTCACACTCTTGCTGAGCCGTACCCCTCCGTGGCAGCTGATTTCGGGCGGGTATGAGGTCAGGCGTGGTGGTCGGAACAAGGATGCGCAGGAGACTTAGAAAGCGGCAATGGCCATGACCCGAGGATGTGACAGAATTCTCTGGCCTGGTAGCCGGATGCCAATTAGGAATAAGGAAGAGTGAAGAATGGGTCGTGGATGCTCGTGGAAGAAGATCACCAACAATAATCCTGCCTGTTCAACTCTGGAACTTTTTTCCTGATTTTCAGGGCACCAACATCATTCTGCCGCTCACCGCCTTGCAACTCTGCAATTATTCTCTACAAAGTATTATTCTTGGAGGTAATTTCCATGGTTCAGGCGCCAATATGATGGAATTGATTTCCGTAAGAATAAGAATAGGCATAAGAATGACATCGCCGATTATGCAAGTGCTTGTTCGACAGACATCTATGTCCATGAATCTGTCGTCCAGGCGTCTTCGTCTCTCATATGCAGCCAATGACCAGCCCCGACAAAGCCAACCCACGCTAATAGGTATACAAGAAAACAAGAATCACGAGCCTCGGCTCCCTTCTTGAGAACCTGATGCAGGGTAAATGCACCTCTAACCAACCCGGCTTGCAAAACGCCCTTATAATGCTAATGCTGCAAAAATCCAAAATCAAATTCAACGCCGACTCCCATGAATGCAAGCCCCGGATAGCAGGCACCTGGTGAAGAAGGGGGGGGAGCAAGTAAGATCCAGAATTGGATCGATGTGGAAAGTGGACGGCAAATCAGGTCATGTCCTCATCATCCTCCTCGTCATCGTCGAGAGATTCCATGGCATCCTTGATGTATTGTGCTGCCTGAAACCGAACCAGTTAGCATTCTCTGGTAATATGACACAACGGAAGTGCTGGGCATACCTTAGGATCCAAGTTCAAAGCAGTTGTGAAGTGCTTAATGGCATTCGCTTTGTCGTGAAGCATCTTGTAGAGCTTACCCAACAAATAATGCACGTTGGCTTCATCTGGAGCCATGTCTTTGAGAATCTTCAACTCGGACAGGGCCAACTTGAGCTCCTGAAGCTTCATTAATGCGCGAGCCTTGCGGAATCGCGCGAGTACTGAATGAGGCGCCAAGGAACAAGCGCGACCATATTGCGCGAGAGCGGCTTTAGGATTGTTCATTTTTTCCAGTACCAGACCAATACAGCAGATCAAAACTGCGTTGGTCGGGTTGATGCTTGCCGCATTCCGGAAGTGTTGTTCGGCAAAGTCCAGTTTACCCATTTTGTCGTAGACCGTGCCCAATCCGTACCAAGCGTTGTAATGCCGATTATCAGCACTGATACCGTGACGGTATGCATCCAGCGCCTTGTCGTATTCTTCGTTGGCAACGTACTCGTGTCCTTGAAGAGTAAACCCGTATGCAAACTGGGGATCCAGCTGTGTTGCCCGCTTAAAGCACTTCAAAGCCTGGTCATGGTCCCGCTGGTGGGAGAAAGAATTACCGATGGCGCACCACGCCTGTGGCGACAGGCGATCTGTTTCCATCAACTCATGCGCCAAGTATGCTAACTCAACATCGTTCTTCAGATGCCAAAGGACGGTCGAGTAGATCTCCATGTCTTCTAAGCGCGAGGGTGCCATGGTCTTCACGCGGTAGAAGTACTTCTCGGCCTCAGAATACATCGCCTGCTCATAATACGCTCGTCCAATCTGAGCGAGAACCCACGGTGTTTCCCGTTGGCCCTGAGAGAGTGAATTGAAGATCTGAATTGACTCCGAGCACCGGTAGCGACACAAGGCAAAGAATCCAGAAGCAAGTTTGGAGAATAGCTCCAGCAGCCAGGTCAACGCCTCAATTTCTTTTGACCTCTCAGGTGCAGCGCCTTTGGAGATGGCGTGAGTGTGTGATGATGGTAAGGACCGACCGTCTTTACCATCTGCATCATGATGTTCGCTGCCATGTTTTCGACTGCCACTCACTACTCGTCCCATGGTGGTGGTGGTGGTTGTAGTACGCCCTTTGGTACCCGTGGCTTTCGCCTTCTTGACCTCTCTAGCATCCTTGACTCCCAATGCGGATGCCGACAATTTGCTGGTTGTGGGTTTAATCTGGTTGAAGAGTCGCACACTCCGCCGTTGGGGTGCTCCTGGTTCCGTGGGTTGTGATGTGGGTGGATGCGCTACCTGACCGGAAACAGTTCGCTTGCGGTCCCCGACCCTGGGCGGAATTGTAGCCTCCCGGTCTGTCTGGGCTGGAATTTGCTCCTCTGGCTCAGTCCTGGTTCTTGTCCTTTGTCGGATCCCCGTGGGTTTCATCTTGGGAGGGGGATCCATTGGATACTCGCCGCTGATTGCCTGGATCGTTCTGTTTTTCCGTGCAGGAGCTAAAGGAGGGTCCCAAGGAGCATCCACGCCGTTCATTCCGTTGGCTAACCGGAACTCATCAGATCCGCTGCTTTGACCACTCGGCGTTTCCGCCCCTTCATGGACGATTGATGCTGGCACTCCCGAGGACGCCACGCTTACTGTGCTTCCATTTAGTTTTTCCCACAAGGCAGAGCTCCCATGGCTGGTACCTGAATCACTGCGAGAGGTTGTCGATGCAAAAGGATCGGAGCTCGGATTGACATTCGCCTGCGCTTGCAGTGGACCATTCGTGTGTACAGACTTGTCGGATATTGGCTCAGCGTCCTCCTGCGGTGATGACGACAATACAGCCAGCAATTCAGAATTCATCTTGTAGATATTCGGCACGCGGACATTGACGCCTTGGCGGTAGAACACAATTAGCCATGGCTAGATGTAGTAAGTTTCTTCTCCAAAGCTTACCGGTATCGCACAGCCCTTGGAACGCATCCCACATGAAGGGATTCAGCTTCAGAGATTCAACATAGCATTCTACAGCTTTATTGATGTCCTTGTGCGCATGCCATAGTTTACCTAGCAGGCACAATACTGCGGCCGCATCCGGCAAGTGTTGTCTTCGCGTCTCACTGTGCTTATCTAGAGTGGCAGGTTAGAGACGCAACGAGATATGCAAGTTGAGTGCAAGACCCAGCGCAAGGAGTGCTTACTCCAGTGATTCTTGGAAGCCCAAAGGCCTTTACTTCGCTCCAACGCTGTGATACCTTCCAGATACTTTCCTAGGTCCAAGCACGCTTGCGCGAAGACATAGGAGCAGCCGAGGTGGGTGCCTCTCGATCCAAAATTTCTGCTGTAATCGTACGCGGCTTTAACTTGACCGTTGTGAAGGTGGCAGAGAGCAAGTAAATATGACGCTTCCGCCGTTCGGGGCTCGTAAGCATGTAAACGACCGGCGAGGAACAGCGCATTGCGGCACAGATTGTTATCGAGATGATAATATATTAGCTGCCTAAGCTGGCCTGAAATGTAGGATATTGATGGCGACATGTTTGCGTGTTCTAGGTATGCGGAACAAGGGGAGAAGTGTTGGTGTTGTGAGGCCAGGGTACTGAGTACGCGGGTCAGAGTCGGTGAGGGAATGTTCTCGAGCGATAGGCGAGCATGAGGTCGGCCGTGATCGCAGGCCGTTCTTTTCCAATGATTAACTCCCAGACGTGTCGAGAAACAGAGGTGAGGAAACGACGATGCAAAGTTCCCTTTGCTGCGGAGACTAGTGGTCCACGTCCAACACAACAAAGGCAAAGTATACAACACAAAGAGCCACGGTTTGCAGTAAGCGCTTTGCAGTGCTACAGAATCCTTTCACGACCTGTCCACCTTCACGTTGCGAATTCAGATGTCGGCTCCAAGGTGAGGCCGTGTCGAAGCTAAAGTGAATGGATGACGTCCAGGACGACTCGTGACGCCCTCCAGGCAAAGCAAGAGCCTCCAAGGGAAATCAAAAAGGCATATCGGGAGATGAACCGCTCCAGAGTTGAGTATGACAAGTGAAAGGTGTGCAGCTAACGGCTTCCCGAAACAAGAGGGGCGGGGGAGGAGAACTGTCAAGTCGATCGATCGTGTCAGGCCAGGTCTAGGTCCAGGTCGTGCCTTTTTTGGAGCATGCGGATGTTTTGGGGTGGCCGAGTATAACAGATTAGGAAAAGTGGCTGGTGCTGGCGGAGGCGCGGGCGCTTGTCTCGTTGTGGCGGGCAACCGACCATGCGTCTACTACTTCACTCCAGTTCGCACGAGATAACATCGAGAAGAGGGGAACATAGGTTTAGAATTATAAAACCTTGTGCTATTATACTTAAAATATAATCTGTATGAGGATTTGCCGAACAGACACATTCATCTACATCTACATTTATCGCCCTGCGTCGGTTGCCTCTTCTCTTTGACATTACTGAACATTCCGTCACTATGGCGCAGGTACATCACTTCCTCTAGCATCCGTCTTCACAGAATAAAAGATCAAGAGGAGAGAAGACCCAAACTGCTTACTGACCCGTTATAGAAAGCAGCCAAGACCCTTGCCGCCCGCAATGCCTCCCTCCTCTTGCGCACGCATATAATCGCCCTCTGTCTGCATTCAATCTTCCTGCTTCTGCACTGGATCTTCAACCGTCCACGCTCGTTAACGCCGTACTTCTTCCTTGCATGTCCAACACTCGCCATCGAATTCTATCTTGAACGACTGGGCCGCCCAAGCTACAACCCCGCCGACGGTTCCCTGCGGTCCCCCGGAGAAGACCTCGGAGCTTCCGGTCTGACGGAGTACATGTGGGATGTCCTCTACTGGACATGGGGCTGTATGGGGGCGGCTTGTCTATTTGGGGATCGTGCTTGGTGGTTGTGGATCGTCATTCCCATATATTCCGTTTGGTTGGCCTATACTACCTTCACCGGGATGCGGAGCGGTTTGGCCGGAATGGGTGGAGCGGACACACCCGTCGCAGAAAGTAAGAGACAGAAGAAGATGGAGAAGCGTGGAGGACAACGCATGCAGTACCGGTGATTGCGGCTCCATGCCGACTGTATTATTGTACATTAAGTCATGCGCTGGGTCCTGATTGAGACAACACCTTTGAACAGGAAGACGATATGAATAGAATTGGTCATGAGCTTTTAGGAGACGGAGATATGGATAATCATGTAGTCAAAAAGGGAAATATCCTGTTGCATTGCGAAAAGTCATGTATATATTAATATGAGAACCTCACTATGTCGTAGAAATCAGGTAGCGGAACGAGGAAGACGTAAATAGCCCGAGAAGTTGTGTACATATTTTGAAAATCTAGGGGAAGAGATGGCGTACGACAATCAGTGAAAACTATATGGGGAATAGTGCTTCAGAAAGTCAAAATCATCATGATCCATCTGGAAAGCAATATATGAATGGTGGGAATGTAAGAAACATCAATGGGGAATAAGTCGTGGGAAACATGAGAATACATGGCCACTGTACTTCGTACAACGGCAGCAAGACATCTTTACCTCCACAGTTTTCTGGACTATAACTCGTCCTTAACAGACGTATCATCGCCGCTAGTGAGGACCACCACTTTCGATGTTGCTGTCTCTACCGCAGCCGAGGCGAGGCTGCTGGCACTAGAAGCCAGGTTTGCAAGCTGTCCCTGTGCTCCTTCTACAGCCACCGCCAGCCTGCTCGTGGCGCTGGCAAAAGCGCCTTGTTCAACTTCGGTTGGACTTGCTGACTGAAAGACTGCATTCCTGATGGCGGATTCGGCAGATGCATAGGCATGCTCGAGGGCTTCCTGAGCGGCTTCCAAATACCCTGGTTCAGTTCCGTAAACGGCTTCGCTGATGTGGGCGGAGGCCGCTGATATAGCGCTGCTAGCTGAAGATGTTGCCTTTTCAAAAGGACCCTTGGGGGTACCATACAACTGAACACTCACGGCATTGACCGCAGACTGGAACTGTTCGTTGGCATTTTCCAGAATGTTCTCGAGCGATGGAACGTTCGTGATCGACCCAAATGGAGCAGAAGAGGTAGCGGTATGGTCGCCAATGACGTAACTCGAGGCCGCTGAAAGCGCGGAGGCTGGGTATGGCGTTTCGTAGATTGCATGTAACCTGCTTAGAGCTTTCTCCGTAAAAGAAGGTTCTTTGCCGACAATCAGCTCAGATACTAATTGTTCGATGGCCTCGTATTGAGGAATCAAATCACTTGGTGCCGGGGGCGTGTAGTGCGATCGAGAGCCATAAAAGTGTTCGCTAGCCGTGGAAACAAGACTCTCCCAGTTCTCGGATGCTTTACTAGCCATTTGTTCAAGGTGTCCTGTCGGAGTAGGTGTACCATACACTGCTTGAGAGGCAGAGGACACGAATGCGGAGTAATGGTCATGTGCCATACCAACAGCCTCGTAGTAACGTCGTTGTGCGTCAAGGAGGATACGGTTCTGCTCGACAGCTGTTGTTGGAGTTGCCGTCGCTCGCACTCCGGCAAGTTGGGCCGAGGCGAGGCTTAGGCCTTCGCTCAGCCTCAAGGAGGCCACAGACGAGATATATGCAGGTGGTGTAATGTCTGCTGCCATTGAGGCGACGCTGGAAGCGGCCTGGTGAGCAAAGGACGCGATGCTGCCATCAGACCAAGCTTGGCCGGCGGCACTTGTTACTTGCGCGAAGTGGTCATCAGCTTGGCTGACAAGTTCCTGCAATTGCTCGGGAAAGCCACGCTGCTCGGACGCATCTGGTTTCGGTACAGACTCAGCCGCAGCAACACCCCAGGCCATCTTGACCGGCGCAAGGCTTTCGCTCGCGTCTGCTCCTGACACCGATGCGGGACTGCGTCCGTCTCTTGCAGAGGATACATCACCGGCTCTGGAGTGCTTTGGCAGACTATGAGCATGCGATACAGATGATTCGTCATGTGTCAAAGGGATATCATCATCTAGACCCAGATCATTTTCAGAATCTCCTTTGCCGTGAGCTGCTGTGCCTTCAGACTCCGGGACTGTGCCAGATGTAGCTTGCTCAGAGCTCTGCATGGATTGATGGTTCTCAGTATCTGCATTGTCAGCCTGGGCACTTTCCGACTCCTCGTCAGTCTTGCTGCGTTTCGGCAGTGAAGGAGGGTCCCCAGCTCTTGTTTCAAAATCGTCACTTGCTTCGCGAGCCGCGATCTTCCATCTGCCAACGTCTTTGAGCCTGGCCAGTTCCTTTGCAGCGTCTTCTGCGACCTCCATGCCACGGCCTAGAATATCGTTGGCCAATGCCTTAGCTTCCTCGACTTTCACATGCTGCATTCCGACAGTGAAAATGTCATTTTTCCAGTCTTCGAATTGGGCTTTAAGGGCATGATACTTCGCCCAATCCTTGTATGTAACTCCTTCCATCCATGCCCATCGCATACCAATTTCCTGGAGACCCAGGTCTCGCACACTATTAAGAACATCGAGCGTAGAGTTGACTGCTGCTGAAGTACGCCTGATCAACTCTTCGTCGAATGAGTTCCGCCATTGCCGAACTGCATGTGCGCGATCTCTGACAGAAATGGCAGCCCGTCTGATCTCCTTCAAAAGCTCATCCTGGACCTTTCCCTCCTCCTCGGGTGCCTCCTCGCTTGGGAGTGATTCGGCCAATTCGTTAATACGGAACTTGACAGACGAGATCTCATCCTGCACAACAGTTTCTAGAGCTGTTATAAGACTCTCGCCATGACTGTTTACACCGCTTCTAATGTAGCTTTCCACTATCTCTTCCACGCGTTCCTCAAGATCTTCAGCACCCTTTTCCACGGCAGTGGCGAACTTTGTCTGCCATGTTTGAAGGTCTGAAGCAATCTTTTCGCGAGCTTGCGCGGTCTGCTCGGCAGGTGATAGTGTGGTGCTGGTCACAGAGGCCTCGGTTGCAGTGGCTGTAATGGTTGATTCAAAGTCCGGGCTCTTCTCAGCCGATGTGACAGCAGACTGCGTCTGCTGATCCATAGAACTGAGGATCTTTCGTTAGTACCTATACTCTGGAACTTCTTTGAAGGGTGAAGCTTACCTATCAGCCTCATCCATGACTTTTCGCAGTCGTCTTCCTTCCCGATAGCTGGCTAGTCGCTGTCCGATTTTGACTAATTGAGGCTCAACATTTTCCGAGTATAAACCAGTGAGTTTCGGCCATAGAGCACTGTTCGCAAAATAGATCACGGATGACCAGCTGCTTTGCGCGTATGGCAGCACGGTGGTCGCCAGTACATTCTGACCGGACACATATGTCTTTCCAATAAACGGCCTCGATCGAGCAAAGAGGGGGAAAACGTAACCATCCCATAGAGTTATGAAGGCGCCATTAACTTTGTTATAGTAAGGAAAAACGACATCCTTAGCACGTTGCACATATGGAGCAACTTCGGAATTGTACAATCCCGTTGCACTTTCTTTCGCATTTTGTAGACGAGGGATAACCTGGGCCTCCCACTGCTGCTGGCCATAGGCTCGAGCCCGGCCCAGAGCAGGAGCATCATATTGATCATATCCCCGCCTGGCTACTGTCGCTGCCGGGGTGTAGACATGCGCGTTCACCACTTGTACGTATGGACGAGCGATTTCGACATAAGGTGCACCGTATCTATCATAGTACGGCAGAACATAAGGCTCAATGTGGGATCGCACAACCAGGTATGGTTTGCATACTCGCGGTGACGACTCATTCAATTTCGAAAGATGCGAAGGACACCTAAAAATCGGTGCGAGCAGAACATACCATATACAAAGTCTGCAAATTATTTCTTGTTAGCCCGAATCATACCATCGTCCAAGATCACAAAGGCGAGCATACCGCACTACCAGACCAAATGTCCATCTGAAAGGATTCGTCTTTCTCGGTCGGGGGCGGGGCTCCACCGACTTGACAATGCCGTCCGAGGCGTGTCCATTCTCCACGGTCGCCATTGTGTAGTCAATGCGCAGGTCGGATTTCGTGAAGTACTGATTTTCCGCTGCTAAATGCTAATTGACGGGGTATCGCGTGTGCGAATTGGCCTGTTGCGGGCAAATCTCTGGTGTAATCCTATAGATCACCGGGAGGGCATCCCGAGGTCTAGTCGAGTGTTAAGCTGCTTCTCGTTCAGAGGGTAGTGGTTGACTGTCGTTTGAACGCCTGTCAATTTACGCCGGCGATGTAGACGCGCGACGATGTCCCAGATCTTGGCGGAGACCAGACAATCAACGGTTGTCTTGCACAATCGGACCCAGCAATCGCCAAATTCTGAGGTTAAACTCAGCGAGGGCTATAAAAGGGGTTGAAAAGAAGTCAGAATCAAAAGATCACAGAAATGGCATCAAGCTGCAGCAGGTTATCAATTTTTGTTTTCCTTGCTCCGTCGGTGAGGTCATCGCTCAGACCTCGGTGGCGTAGCTGATCGTATTACTGTGCTTTACACGCTAGTGGCGTACGACACAGCAAGATATGCATTGTTTCTCGTAAGATACGGTAATATCACCTGACTCCGTGAACTCCTCCGCTGAGTAATCATGGAGACCGCTTTGGATATTTGATATCCATGATCATAATCATCAGCTTGAAAACAACTTGCCACTGTCTGGAATAGTGGAAAATAGATGCAGAATATCGCTTAGTGTGTAAGCTCCGAGACTTTCTTCCTTGCAACCTTGACTTCTCTCAAAAGTGAACCGCCACATCAAAGAAGCTGCAGGAACCTGGCTCATATTCCATGGGGACTGCTTCATGATCCTCCTTTCTTCTTTGACTTCGGACAAGGTACTCCATACATTGTCGATCTTTGAGCTCAACGGTCATTCACTAGAATCGCGAACTCACCGATAATCCCTCTTATCATGACAAATTGCAATCCCTCTTAAGAATCGTCGGATAGACGCTGGAAACAACACTATTCAAAGCATGGATTTTGCGCAGGAGCAACCCCGCCAATATGCGGACCACACGACTTTCCCAGACCTGATGAACGATTCTGCTTTTGCGACGAATAACAAGGGGAAGGAAAGAGACTTTGAGGAACCAGATACATGTCGGATTTGTCGCGGCGAAGGAACACTGGAGGAGCCACTGTTCTACCCTTGCAAATGTAGCGGCAGCATCAAGTTTGTTCATCAGCCTTGCCTGGTAGAATGGCTGTCGCATTCCCAGAAGAAGCATTGCGAGCTTTGCAAGACGCCTTTCCGATTTACGAAGCTATACGACCCGAACATGCCTCGAAACCTCCCCGCGCCTCTGTTCTTGAAACAGCTATTGATCCATAGCTTCCGCACCGTTGTTACATGGCTACGATTCATCCTGGTTGCGTTTGTCTGGCTCGGGTGGCTTCCATGGTCTATGAGAGCAATTTGGAGAGCACTGTTCTGGCTTGCAGATGGCCACTGGTCCGGCGGTGATGCCTCTCAACAGCTTCAAGCTCGGCAGTCTGCTGGGAACGAAACTACTTCCCTTGCAGCCGGAATGACTACCTCAAACTTGCAGACTCCGAGTGCTCTCTTGTCAAATGCAACGAATTCATCATCATTTTACTCGCCAATGTCATCCATGTTCACTTTCCCCTCTGGTGACCCACTTCTGCTTACAGTCGCTAAGAAGGTGATGTCCGCACTGTTCTTTCCAGCCATGTCATCGGCTGGTGGTTCATCGAACTCACGGCCGTTGAACGTGACTACGGGACTGTATAAGCACCGTCACCCCTCGTGGCTTTCGGACGTGAAGTTGCTCAACTCCTTGACGCCATCGCCCACCATCAACAATATTGTCATCGACACCTTGGAGGGCCAGCTTATCACCCTGCTCGTCGTCGTTTCGTTCATACTCGTCTTTTTGATCCGAGAATGGGTTGTTCAACAGCAGCCAATGGCCAATATTGCTGATGGTGAACGCGAAGCCGCAGTGCAGTTAATAGCGAATAACCGTCCAAATAGAAATGACGACGGTCCAAGGCCTGAACCCCGGGCTCATGTGCACCGTGCAGATGTGTTAGGGGACGAGCGAGAGCATATGGAAGAGCACGGCTCCGATCATGATGATGTTGGTTTACACGATATTCATTTTCCCCGGCCGACTCGCAGGCGTTCCCTTCAAAGCGGCGAAAGCGCGGATTTGCCAGCCGCCGAGCCTGTGGGAAAAGCCGGTCCCGCAACCTTTTCAGAAAATGGTAGTGATAGCGACAATGAAGCGAATGCCAGCCATTTGGCGAGAAGGTCGCCCACTCGAGTTAACCAGGGAGGTTGGGCTGGCGTTGAGACTTTCAGAGACCTCTGGTCCCGCGGCAATGGTGACCCTGAGCAGATTCTAAGAATCATTAGAGAAGACGGTCGGGAAGAGGAGCTTGGTTGGGTTGTCACAGCCATGACGAGGCTTCAACAAAATGACACCCCTCGATTTTCTGAAGCTCGCTCCAGCTCCAGCACTCAATGGGATGACCTCGAGACCCCAGGATATCGAAGCGGGGCTTCTTCCTTAGAGTCTTCTCATCTAGCTCCGTCTGGTCCCGCTGAAATCTCAGACTCAGTGCCCACGTATCGAGCTTGGGATGCCGCGGACATGCCCAATTCAGCTTTTGAGACAGACTCGAGTACACATCATCATGAATTCACCTTTGGCTTCCCTGAATTTGGGCCCCAGTCAGAAATCAGTACAGGAAGTAATCGTGAGGGACAGTTGAACGACACAAACAACGATGATGAGGTCTCAAGCAACCCACAGCCTGCGAGCCCACAAGACTTGCCGACCGTGGGTCATGCAAATGATGAAACCGCACCGCGTGGCACTCAAGTTGACCTCCCTGCTGCCGCACCTCCAAGGAGCTTTGCTGCCAAAGCTTTTGAATGGTTTTGGGCTGATCTGGCACCACGTGAGCAGGATCAGGAGCACCCTCCACGAGATGATGAGGAAGTGGTGGAAGATCTTGCGGTAGAAGCACCATTTGTACCAATCCGTAACAACAGACGTCCTGCCAATGATATGCAGCAAAATCAGGGCATTGCTGCGGACGCAGGAATTGATCCCAACGACCTGGATGCTGTGGAAGAAGGTGACGATCTAGAAGGAATTCTCGAACTTATCGGCATGCAAGGCCCCATATTTGGCTTACTTCAGAACGGTGTGTTTAGCGCTCTTTTGATTTCATTTACAGTGGCTATTGGGGTCTGGCTTCCATATTTGTGGGGAAAGATCGCACTCGTCCTCCTCGCAAACCCCATTCAACTCATCTTCGGCGTCCCTGTGACTGCGGTATCGGTTATCGCAGATGTCACACTAGACACTCTTATTGGCAGTCTGGGCTATCTCATGTATGCGGTCAGCCTTGTCTGCAAAGTGCTACTTGGCCCCTTGAGTTCCTTCGTTCCTCTAGGCGATTGGATTCCCCAAACGAAGTCCATCACGAGCGCATCGTTGTCGCTTATCGATGCCAGCAGTCACCGGTTGAAGAACGTGGTCAGCGCGTTCTTTGTTTTCCACGAATCTGACGTCCCAGTGTTCTCTGTTCTGTCTCATCAGGCGCTCAGGATCCATCAAGCGCGCATCTCTGGTCTTTGTCAGTCGATTGTTACTTTCGTCAAATTCATAATACACGATTTGCCCATCCAAATCACGACAAATGGACTCCTAGGCGCTTTATCCTTCGATCGCCAAAGCATCGACTTGAGCAGTCTTTTCGCCCAGGCTCGACAGCAGGTGTACAGCTTTGCTGACCGCACTTTCTTTCCAGGGAAAGGCGCGAAGTGGTTCGATGCCACTGTGACAGGGGCGACTTCCACCGGTTTGGCTATTGATCCCGAATTGGCCGTTTGGGATACTAAAGACCGTATTATTGCCATTGTCATGGGTTACGTGCTTGCATCGATCTTGGGACTCCTCTACCTTCGTATTACTAGCCTGTTCACAGGGGCAAGTCGTGGACAGAGGGTCGAGGGCCTCGTCGCTGACGTTCTTCACCAAGCTGGTGGAGTAATGAAAGTCATTTTGATCATTGGGATTGAAATGATTGTTTTTCCACTGTACTGTGGTACCCTGCTTGACGTCGCCCTGCTACCTCTCTTTGAGAACGCTACGATCGCCTCCCGGCTCGAATTTACCTCCTCTTCTCCACTCACATCACTCTTTGTGCACTGGTTCATAGGCACTTGTTATATGTTCCATTTTGCTCTATTTGTTTCGATGTGTCGAAAAATCATGAGGAGTGGCGTCCTTTGTAAGTACTCACAACCAAGTCTGTTTGAGCATTAGTTTGCTAACTATGATTGACAGACTTCATTCGCGACCCCGATGACCCGACTTTCCATCCGGTGCGAGATGTGCTTGAACGCAACATCACCACTCAACTGCGCAAGATAGCCTTCAGTGCTCTCGTATACGGGGCTCTGGTCATCGTCTGCCTCGGCGGTGTTGTCTGGGGCCTATACTATGCCTTTGATGGGGTGCTGCCTGTTCGGTGGTCTGCCACAATTCCTGTGCTCGAATTCCCCGCTGATTTGTTGTTCTACAACTTTGCTATGCCCCTTGCCATACGGTCTATCAAGCCCTCTGACGGCTTACACAAGCTTTATAACTGGTGGTTTCATAAATGCGCGCGGTTCTTACGACTTAGCAGCTTTTTCTTTGGTGAAAGGCACACCGATGAAGAAGGTTATCATGTGAGACGGACTTGGTTTGATCTCCTTTTGGGAAAGAAAGGCGACACCGAACAGCCCATCGTCGGTGAAACTGAGCGTCGCATCGCCGACGAAAAGCAGCTTGGTGCTTACTTCGTCCGGGACGGCAAATTTGTACGGGCTCCAGCTTCCGATCAAGTGCGTATTCCAAAGGGCGACCCAGTGTTCTTGGAGATCACCGAGAACAACGAGCGGGTTGATGGCGCTCCGGATCCCGACGACGGTCTACATGGTCGTACCAACGACATGTTCACTAATGTCTACATCCCACCCTCCTTCAGGGCCAGAATCGCGGCGTTCATCTTCCTGATCTGGGTCTTTGCCGCTGCTACCGGAGTAGGCACCACAATTATTCCCCTAGTTATTGGCCGAAAGATGATGTTGGCATGCTTCCCTGATCGACCGCTGAATGATATGTATGCGTTCTCTTTGGGCATCTGCATTTTCGGAAGTGTTGCCTATCTCATGTTCTATTGCCGGACGTTTTTGGCTACGATCCAGGATCGTCTTCGCCCTTACCTTCGTTCGCCACGACAGGCTTTGCTCGGATTCGGAAATGTCGCACTAAGCGGTCTGCGACTAGCTTACGTAGTGCTCGCATTCTCGGTTCTACTGCCGTCCTTGTTCGCTCTAGTCATGGAGCTTTACGTGATTGTTCCGGTGCATACGTACCTGGGTGGGACACGGGGGCACGTTATTCACTTTGTGCAAGACTGGACGCTTGGGGTGCTGTATGTGCAAATGGCTGTCAAGTTTGCTCTATGGCATTCTACTTCGCGACCTGCAGCGGCTCTCAACGGTGTCTTCCGGGACGGCTGGCTGAACCCAAATGTCCGTCTTGCCACCCGAGCAATAGTGCTTCCTGTCACGATTTTGGCGGCGCTTGCAGTGGCTGTCCCACTTTCTTTCGGGTTCGCCCTGAACTCGACTGTCTTCCATGCCACCCCAGATATTCAAGCAAAGGTCTATCGCTATGCATTCCCTGCCACTCTGCTTCTTAGCTTTTTGGCATGGCTTGTTTATATGGCCCGTCGACAGGTGGATATCTGGAGAGTCAACATCCGTGATGATGTCTATCTGATTGGGGAGCGGCTGCACAATTTCAGGGAGAAACGTGCAAGGGATGTTGGTGTTTCTCGACGAGTGATTACCGGGTAACCCTGCACCATTAGACACTTTTTTCACCGGTTTCCTTTATTTTCTACTTCTCCTGTGTATATTTCACATCCCGATGCATCAATAGAAGGTTTTTTTTTATTTTTTGATTAATCGCGTTATCATTGACAAGAGAAGACGGTTGCCTAGTCCCGTTCTCCGCCAAATCAACGCACTTTCTCCGACGTTCCCGTACTAGGCAGCTCACATGCTTAGTTTGTACAACATACGAATCTCAAAGACGTGCTCCGATGGGGTTTCATGGCTTCCATCTGCACTCTGTAGCAGCTGTGTGACTGAGGGGAACGGAAAGACGCTGGCCGTGCTGCTAATGTCCTACATTGTGTTCAGTTATAGTACAAAGATGCTTATGTAGTCCGCACTTGCCGGTTTCTGCCGATAACCTGGCGGATGACTGCAGATCGTCATGCGATCGCTCGCCCACCAAGTAGTCTATTGTGTAGCTATTCTACTCTACCGATACGATTGCAATACTGAGGTGATATTCGTGGCTGCCTGCCACGTGACGGGCCAAGGGGTGTGGCTTGGCGATCGAGGCTTTGCTCTCACTCGCCACTCCCTATTGGTTAGGCAACAGGATTCCTGCCCACCACCTCCCGATCTATTCTTATGCCTGGCCGTCGCTCTCGTCGTGCAAAATCATGGTCATCTAACGCCAAATTGTTGCAGAAGAAAACTCTTCCTTCAGATCATCTTACACCATTTCACTACCCTTCAAAACAATGTGTCCTCAATGCTGAAGTATCAAGTCCGCTGCGAGGCCAGATCGTAACTAAGACCCGCCTCGCCTCTTGACTACTTACTATTGCGCGCATTCCCCTAATTAATCCACCTTCCCCGGACTCTGCACGCCAAGATGTCCGTTCTCCGTCATGGAGGTTCATACCTCCAGCGACGTCTTACCAAAATGTATACAGATACAAAGACCTCGTGTGAGAGTGTAACGACGGCTTCGAAGGCTGTCGATGATCCAGAGCTCGTGGCTCTGCATCGGAGCTTTAGGACGCAGCGGGATCGGCTTCTTGCTTGGGGGCTAGACTGGAGCGACGCTAGCGCCGCGCAGCCAAACGATATCGATGAATCGCTCACCCAGGCCGGCTTTAGCGATGTCGTGGAAAGCGTTATGTCTTCCATCCAGGAGTTGCTAAGTGAAGCGGAACGCATCCAGCATGGGGGTTCATCCGATTTACCTCCCAAAGGCGCTCAGAAGGACTCTACATCGAAAGACAGCCTTCCTGCCCTGCCGGTCAAGACGCACTGGACTAATGACGACATCACACGCTCTAAGAGTCTCCTTGCTGACTTGACTGCTTGCATCGACACTTTGTATGATTTGTCGCGCTCGCGCCGAAACATGACCTCCAGCGGGCAGTCGGCCGCGCGGGGTCGGCAACGACACGCGCTCAGAACAGGAGACGAGTCTGTCTACTCAGTCTATCCTGATTCCAAGTCATACCACGGCTCTCCGCTTGATACTAAGGAGGCCTACCACAGCCCCAAAGCGCATCAAGATCCTTTCGACTATGCGTCGCCCGTTGTCAGCGCTTTCGAGAAGCAGTCACATAAATCTTCTCTTTCATCCCAAAGCTTCCTCATTGATCGCTCTGCTTTGCAGCTCTCCGGTGCGTCTCACGACAACAGCCCACCGCCGTATGAGATGGTAGCTGCTTCCACGAATTCTCGGGCCATTGGACGTATCAAGACGTCGGCTTCTCCGCTCTTGGCGGGCGCCAAGGAGTCTACCGTATCCATCTTGGTTGAGTATATGCCAATGATGCTGGAAACTCAACGCGACATCACTTTGCCGGAACAGACGCGACTCGAACATGTGCAACAGACCCTTGATCAGCTCGTCCAAAACGCAAGGGTATCCCATCTGGGCTTGATGAGATTCCTTGGCTTCTACATTGACATGCCCAATTCGCGATATGCCTTTATCTATCAAATGCCAATCGACTATTTCCCCTTCCTGCACAATCCTTCCGATCTCCTGAGCGGCCTGAAGCCGAAGCCTCTAGTCTCTCTCTTTCAAACCGGCGATGATCAACGGGTCCCCAACCTCGAAACCCGTCTTCGGCTGGCTTATGACCTTTTGATGGCTGCGCTACACCTTCGAAGCCAGAATCTCGTGCACGGAAACATCAACAGCGGTAACGTGCTCATCTTCCCGGGTGCGACCAGCTCGAACAACGACGAAGTGGCCCTTACGGAGGATCTTCGACGGCCCTATTTGACATCCTTCGCTCAATTCTCTGGTACTGCGACATCGCCCGAGCCTCTATCTTCGAGCATGTATCGTCATCCCGACGATAAGAGGTCCCTTGAGGATGATGCGGCCTGGTCCTATGATCTGTATTCCCTAGGTCTCGTGTTGATGGAAATTGGCCTGTGGACGCCAATCAGCCGACTTTGGAAGATGAAATACACAAACTCGATGTTTAAGCAGAGAATCGAAAATGTTTATCTGCAGAAGCTGGGTCCGAAGTGCGGCAGTGCATTTCTCCACGTCGTCCAACTGTGTCTGGATGCCCCCAACTTCCATTTATCAACGCAGCCATTCGAAGATTTCAACTTGAGAGTTCCTCAGACGTATCATTATCCTGTTCTGGATCTTTCTGCACCAGACAGTATCTTTTCTTTCTCCATGAACTTCCTTTATACAATGTGCAAGATCGTTTGGTCTTGCTGCAGAATTGACATTTTCTCCGCACCGGCCGCTGAGGAGTTGGATGATTGCCTTCCCCTTGCGCTCGTTCCTCGAACTGAGACAGAGCATGTGCGCAAGAGTCCTCAGAAGTATGAGCCTGAACCTCAGCGACTGACACGTCGCAATGGTTCGTATCCTGCTCTTCCAGTGCAAGAGATGCGAGTCTTGAAGGAGAAGATGGGCTTGGAAGAGAAGAAGGCGAAGAAGAGGACTTTTAAAAAGCTTACCAACGTCGAGATTCCTCAAGACCACCTCAACGAATGGAACTTCCAGATGCTTCCACGATTGAGAAAACTTCTTCAGAAGGTTCTGAAAGACTCGTCCGAATCCTGTGGCGTCACTCTGATGATGACTGGCGATTCGGCCGAAACTGCCAAGACGACCATCTGTGTTACCTGCTCGAGTGCAAAGAAGGTAAGAGCCGCCTTGAAGAAGTATTTTGTGCTCGATGACAGGGAAGATTGGGACATCATCGTGCTTCGTGGGGATATCCAACGCTCCAAAGTTCCCCGCAAGAAAAGGCGCAGGCCGGCAAAGAGATCGCAGACGGCGGGTGCTCCGGCGTTTCCCGAACGAGATCTCAATCCCTGCTATCAGCCACGACCGCTTTGTGGCGCGTCCATTGGCGCCTTTCAGAATGAGGAGCATCTCCCTCCTGTGTCCTATGGGGGTGCCATCTTGGTGGACGGTATGCCTTATGGTATGACGGTCCATCACATGCTTGAGGCACCTAGTGATGATGAGGGAGAAGAGGGGGTGGAGAATCGGAATGTCGGGGGGCCATTTCGCTCAGCTGGGAATTGGCCGGGAGAATCCGCCCCCTCGAACAATGATTTCATGTACACCTGGTGCGACGAGGATCCCTCTGAAGTGGACCTGGAATTTGAGATCTCGGAAGACGAGGATGGCGATGACGTCTCCCTCTCTCAGAGCTTGGAAGGAACTTACGACGACCATTGGCTCTCAGACAGTTATTCTTCGGACGAAGAAGGCTTTGATGTTGATGACCCCTATGAGGATGAAGACGCGGCTTCGATCGGCGACACGGCCGGAGTCGAGCCAGGTGATGAGCCACCTCTATTTGTTACTCAACCGGCAATCGATGACGTCCATGAGGATTTCTTCCCGTCGGCCGAAGATCGTGATGATGAGCACTTGGCGTCTCACTCGCTCGGGTTCGTCCATGCATCATCGGGCGTTCGCCGCTGGACTCGAAAAGGCATCAAGCACGAAATTGACTGGGCGTTGATCAAGATCAATGATGACCGGTTAGACGCGCGCAACATTGTGTTTGACAAGACGCCGCCATCAGGGTCCCGAGGTCTCTCGAGACGGGGCCCTGGAGGACCGCCTTCACAGACAGGGGAAGCCATCTTTCTCAATGACGTAGCACGGATGGAGGAGCTGGGCGGTTTGAAGGTTCATTGTTGCGGTCGGACAAGTGGTCTGCAGAGTGGACAGATTTCACGGGCGATGACCATCGTCAAACTGCACGGACGACAAACTTTCTCCACTAGTTTCTGTGTGGATGGAAACTTTGGAGGTAAGTTGTGAGATCCCCATGCGCCATTCGATCGAACAAACCGAAGCTAACAACCATCCTGAGCCTAGTCCCCGGAGACTCAGGAGCCTGGGTTTTCGACAAATCGACGGGCCGTGTCTGCGGCCATGTCCTGGCCTGGTCGGAGAAAAGCCACACAGCCTACATCGCTCCAATGGAAGTGTTACTGGAGGACATTGCTCGCACCCTGAAAGCTAGCATGGTCACTCTCCCCGGTCGTCGAGACGAGTCTCTCGCCTTCGCGATGACGCACGGCCCAATGCCTGAACCTCAGAACCCGCGTTACCAGGCCCCTCTCCCACTTCCACAGCAGGTCCCGGTGGACATTGGCCGCTTAAGCCTGGGCCTGGACGAGCCCGGGATGGGCACTGTCAACCCCAGCCGCGGGATACCAGAGGTGTCGCCCACTCCTTACCGAGGGATGCCACCTATCCTCTCCCCGCCTCGCAGCCTAGAAAGACAGCTTGCGTAGAGCGCTAGCATATTCGTTCTCGTCTCTATATCACCTGCTTCCCTGATCATTATACCCCTTTTTTTCTTTTTTTCTCGCTCTTGGGTCATGGATATAGGCGTATCTTTTCTACTTTTTGCATATATACCCCTACCTCTGCCTCATGTTTTCGGCGACTATGAACGAGCATGGAGATACATCTCCCTAGCGTCTTGGATGATCGTGAGAGGAGATGTCAGTTTGTCAAATGGAATACAAGATTC